GGGATAGCTTTACTTTTTTTTCTTTCATCTATCGGAAGGGGGTAATGTGGGATAACATTTCTGGTTCGGCCTAGACTGTTGCTCCTCACACGTTACCTCTTGTTTAAAACACTGAAAAATAAAGCGGCACAAATTTATAAAATATATGGTAAATTAAGTAGCAAAAAGAAAAGCACATGTTTTATATTCTCAGGTTTTTAACGGTTGCTTCGCTGTATGTAACCTTTTAGTGGTAAATATAATTAACAAAAGGGAAAAAATTAATGAATATTACCGAAATTAAATTTAATTTTTATGTTCCTCTCATACTTCGACACCATCATACCGCATGACGTCCCGAAGATATAACTCATAATTCATACTTATCTGAAGTATGTTTATTACAACAGATATTTAGTGTCGATAACATAAATTTAACGACTAAATATTGCGTTTAAAAAAGACGTAGAAAAATATTTTAATATACTGTCAAGGCATTAATGAGAAAGAGATGGCAAAAGCAGGAAATATCCCAGTCAAAATGCGTCGCTTTTACAAAGCTCAAGATGCAGAGTTCCACACGAATAGAAGTCGGGCAAACCTACTCACTATAGTATGGAGAAACCATTTGTCCCGTCAAAGCCACTGGCTCCCCCTATGCCCTCGCAGGCTTACTCTTACCAACCTATACAACATCCAGAGTTATGGGTCTCTCCTTCTATATGAAACCAAATTCATGGGTCCAGAATAAGGAAAGCATCAGCCTTGACCGGATAATAAAATTGCTCCATATTCTATACAGGCCGCAGACGAATAGCCTATATACGTAAGGGACTAAAAACAACGCCGACTTCCAAGATAAAAAACAACCCTCTACTCTACAACATAGCATCGCCGACATGTAATTCGCTTCAAAATAAAACCAGTGAAAATTATCAAAAAATGTAGAGAATTGAAACAATGTTTTAACATTATAATATTCACAGCTAATATTATAATTTGACCGCCTTTGTGGTCTAGGGGTCAGAGTTTCTGGCTACTGATCCAGAGGTCCCGGGTTCAATTCTCCGACGATACCAGGTTTTCTAAGAAGTAGTGTTTGTGGAACGGGGTCCAGTCAACCTCGTGATAACTTGATTGAAAAGTAGCGGCTCCGGTCTAGAAACCCGAAATTAACGGCCGTAGGGATTCGTTGCGCTGACCACGAACACCATCTATCAGCTAAAGTTGGCACTAACTTCGCCGACAAACGGCGGTGGCTCGGTCGGTATAGTTCACTTGCGGACTAAACCCACGCAGTTTGTTTTTCTCTTAATATTACAATTTAGTAACATAATGAGATGTGGTAATTGGCAATGACATTTATATTAATATAATTGCTAATATGGATTCATATTAGAAACGCAATTCAGTAACGAGTGTTATATCATGAAAACTGCCTGCTGATGATCCAGCTGGATCGAAACATACGAGTACAGCAGATACAGAACGGTAAACAAATGTTAATAGTTAAAATTGGTTCATTTATTTGGAATTTGTTGTATTGACGGTCATAATAATACATTATAATGATGCACACGGGGATGCATGCAATGATGAAGGTGTACATCTGTAACTGACTCTACACATCACAATAAGAAAGCTATTTCATGCTCGAGCAGATATCATACAGTTTTTTTAATTCGCATAGTGGGGGGTGGATTCCGACTGGGTCCACTCGGCACGGCGGCCACTGATTGGCCTATTGTAGCCTTCCCTGGGTGAATATGATGATGGAGAATTTGGTGGAATGAAGATTGGCAGGGGAAACCGAAGTACCCGGAGAAAACCCGCCCCAGCGCCACTTTGTCCACCACATATCCCATTTGACCAGACCCCAGGCCGCCGCGGTGGGAAGCCAGTGACTAACAGCTTGAGCTATGGCGCGGCGTTATCATACAGGTTAAACAGAAGAGTCTTGATGGACAAGTTTTGTCATAGTCTTATAGAACTCTGCGAAATTATAGTTCATAGTGAAATGTCAAGCCATAAATAATATACTCCTGTATATTTCCTAGTAAGATGTACTGTCGAGTTTCGACATATATGTATGCCATGAAAGACTACATTATTTTCTGCTTAATACTGAAATTGATAGGCAACAAAGGAGACAGAACTTACTCAGGTAAGACTACTGAAATCAAAGGAAAGCTGAAAACACTGACATAGGCTGATTGCAGGGAAAACAAATTCTTATTGAGAAACAACAGACAGCTCACTCATTCATGCCCAACTCATATTCATGAAACGCCTGAAAATTCATTTGGATGTCAACCTGAAATATCCTTACTTCAGCTTTCGCTCGCTGTTCCACTTGTTTGAGTAGGAAAGAGATTTTAGGCTGCAAAATTGTGAATGTTTTCCCAGCTTTTTAAGTAACTTATCAAAAGTTGTGACTGTAGAATTTAGGCACTGAAAAGGGCTCAACCAGCCAATAATTCCCCTGCTTTTTACGGAACCCGATTTTCTTAAAAAGGAATGCTAAATTCAGCGACGGCAGGAGAACAAAATTCACAGGAGGAATCGAAATTACGCTTCAGAAGTATAAAATTGAAGGATAAGTCTACCATTCATACTCCAGCTTTAACCTGATAAATGGTGAAATGAGATTTTAAATGTTATCACCAGTCTCTGGTGAGAGACTTAAAATTACTTACAATGGGGGGCTAGGGGTCCGTGCACTCGAACATAACGGCAAGTCAAAATATTGCACCACATTCGTCGAGAAATCCAGTTTTCTAGGACTACTCTGTGGTCTAGTGGTCAGAGTTCTTGGCTACAGATCCAGAAGTCCCAGGTTCGATTACCGGAGCTTCCAGATTGTCTGAGTAGTGGGTCTGGAACGGGGTCCACTCAGCCTCATGAGGATAATTGAGGAAGTGTTTCAAGGAAATAGCGGCTCTGGTCTAGAAAACCGAGATTAACGGCCGCGGGGATCTGTTGCGCTGACCACACGACACTCTCTATTAGCTAAAGTTGGCACTTACTTCGCCGACAAGCGGCGGTCGCTCGGGCAGTATATTTCGCTTGCGGACTACAGGCCATGGAGTCTTTTTAAGTGAAGAAGTCATAATTTACTTCCTACGGTACTACTTCTTTCTACACGACAGATATTCTGTACATTTCACGAAGAGCGAAAAAGAGAATGTACTTCGATAACCCACAGCATGCCAAAAAAAAAAGATATTTATATGTACGTATCTATATCTGGGTTATTTAGTTCATATCTCGTTAAAATACTTTTTTATTTAGGTATCTTTTTACAGGGACCATTACATTTCAGGGCCTGATTTACACATAAGCCACGCAGATCAGAACTTCCGGCCCCAAAACATCGAGAAGGAAAATCTTCCACTGTAAAACACAACATTGTCCATTAAATGTCTGACTTAATCTTTGCAGATTGCAATTGTGGTTTCTTGCTTGTGTTTACTCTTAAACCGTGAAGATGAAAGGGACATGTTCCTCCGAAGTCCGTTGATTTTCAGCGAACTGGATGGCGTTATATCACAGAATAAAGAACTCGTCATAACCTCAAATCGTACTTTAAAATGGCTGCTTTGAAAATGTTGTAGATAACTAGTTAAGAAACCCTAAAAATATCTAAGCTGTGTGACTTTAACAGAAACATCAACGCTGACTTAGCGGGTAACAAAATAGGGCTCTCCGAGATCAAGCTACAATTATGCGCAACTGCTTCACACCGTTAGAAAATGAGCGGCGTTTGAATTCAAAACGCTGCCGCACACGGGTTGAGAAACAATTCAGTGTATTAACAGTGTGATATGTGTGAGGTACAGCCCGCCCGCTGTGGCAGCACGTGTATACACTTCTACATCACTTTGACCTTCGTCCCTGCAAGCGTACAAATACTCTGCACAGTTGATTCAGTGCAAGGTAGCTCGAGTTAAGATATAAAAAAACTTATGATGCGAACCTTTCCACTCCGATGACAGTGGCTGCAATGCTTTCGGTCCCTCGTGGTTTCGAATATCACGCGAGCATAGATGTTTGTCTGTATTATTTCTGTATCTTTTTTTTCTGTAGGTAGACAACTTGGATAGGCTGGTCTCCCGTCCAAGAAATCATACCATGTCTAAAGGATTCATAGAATAAATTTTTTCCGAGCCCCAACGGGCCACATGACCTGATCAGTAATCCAATTAAGAAAAGTAGATACTTCTCCATTTGTGCCTAAATTAATTTCAATTTAAATATAATCTGAATAGGTAAATATTTATATTACTCTTATCGATACTTCAGCAGTGTTTCTAGTGTTGAGCAGTGTAAGCAATCTACACCACAATACTGTTTCATTGCTTCAAGTCCTGCAGCTCTCAGCCACACTCACAGGCTAGGTAGAGATACCTCCACCCCTCTCTCGCCAGAAGGCGACCACAAGTAAACACTTTAATAAACATTAATTAACAATATATGGTTTATCTACTTCGTCAAATACGCCTATGTTGTTTGTATAAATCATGGAAGTGTTAATTTAATCCTTACTCCTTAGGCAGTCTAATGGGGGGGGCTGTTAAACCTGTTTAGCCAAATCCACACCATTTAAACTATAGGATTAGTGTAACTCTCTGAAAGTTAATGACTTGAATACTTTACGAATATTAACACAACTAATTTTCGAATTAATATGGCACCAAGCATTAGTATAGACCGCGCTACAGCAGTTGGTAAAATCAATGCTTAGGAGTTTGATGACCAGAATACCACTTACTGCAAGTGCAGTGATGTTCCTCATCGCAACCACGTCCAGCTATCACACCCACTCAGCTCCCTAAGTAATAAAAATAGGAAGCCTTTTACTCAGAGTAAAGCGGACGCAGCGTGGAGCTGATCACCTTACTCCCTGTAATGCTAAGGTTTATACTGCATGAGATTCACTTCTGCATTCTTCATGTTTCTTAAGCACATGAACAAATTTACATTTTACTTCCTACCTTGCATGAATATCATTATTCACTTACCTATTTCTTCATGTGATACTCCAAACGTATGCACCGCACAGAGAAGAAAATGACACAATTGCAATATCAGGAACATGTCACCGAAAAAATTGTTTCAGGCTTTATTATAAAGTGTGAGCACTGTAACACTGCTTAACAATAAACACTGAAAGATTGCTTTTTCACGCAGAAACCTTAAATGACTTGCTTAAATAATATCCGCAGGACATTAACAAATAATTTAAAATCTTCGAAAAATATTAACGATTACAGAAGAAACCACTCTTAAAACACACCACACGTATAAATACGAAATACGCGCACTGTCAAATGCAAAGCAAAAACTTCGCACTGTACCAGCTCCCTGTTGCAACGCACGCGAACAACCGCGAACCTCGTCGGGCGCTAACTGCAGAACGTCACCTCCGCCGGTCGTTGTGTCCGGAACTTTAGATTTTGGATCGGGTGGAATGGAGCAGCATGGAGGAGTTGGCTCACGGAATCTGACGAAAGCAGACGACTGTTACCGAACGTACTGACTACAGTAGTGACATACGTACCTGACACATGCAAGTTAGTGATATATCCTTGAGCTCGATGTGTATTATAGTACGCTTAATCCAGCAATACAAATTTGCATTTTGCTTATAAACACGCGAACTCTGTGAGTTCCCTGATAATTTCCTAGCCTTACATGGAAAATAAAAGTTGTATGGAACAGCTTCGGGGAATACAATAACCCTAAAATATTGATCTTGAAAGCTACTGAAAGAAAATGATCGCTTTCACTTCAAATACCGTAAAATGAAGTGCTGACCTACTATTTTCAAAACGCATTCAACTAATTGAGCATTTTGTCTTGATTTTATATGCAAACACATAGTATTCAAAAGCAATAAAGTAAAATGTGTGCTGAATTACTTACTAAACAAACATCCTTATCATTTTGAGCCAAGCATGTTGACTCAAATGTTAACGTTACTGGCTTACATCTGGGAGGTGTTCAAACCGAATCTCAGTCGGAATACCGACTATTTTGAGGTTTCTCGTTGATTTCCTCAGTCCCATCAAGAATTTTCAGAATGTCTTAAATTAGGCCACGAACTCTACTTTTCGCATTCCTTCCAATTCAATATTCAATGTTATATATTCAACATTGTTAAGAAGATAAAAGTGTTCCTGTGCTTAAATAAATAAGCACTATGTCATATAGGCGTATGGGGAAGTGGATGTATAGATCCACATTTTCTGGACCTCGGCACTAGCTGGAGGTGAATGGTCAGCTTCACGCCAAGGCCGCTTTAGCCCCAAAGAACGAGGCCCCGATACCCACTGGCTAGGAGATTGGGTGGACCCAAGAACTGGTCTGGACAACGCGGAGAAGAGAAAACTCATGATACTAACAGGACTCTGAATTCGACCTCTCGATCGTCCAGCTCGTAGTCAGTGGCTATACCGACTACGCTATCCCGGCTCATCCAGCGTTGTTAAATAAACTACAAATATAGACTACTTTTTATTTTAAACTTGAGTTTGATAACTGCCCCATTAGCCTATCTGCTTCCCATTCGAATATTATGAATTCGTTCCATACAAGGCAGGGAGAGCGCTAAGTTTAAATTCTCGAATTACAGAGGGCAACACATTACAGAACGCAGATGGAAAGCGTCTGATTTCCTTTCACTCCAGATGCAAACGGATTTGCACCTAGAGGCTGTCGTATTCGAGCCCTGATCATATAAATATTACCACATGGTAAGTGTGACTATAGACGGGATATGGATTGGTAGTCTGATTTATTGGACGCCTTAACACACAACTCGCGATTACACTTTACAAATCGCTGTCACATAAGGACTTGTGTTCTCAGTCACGATCTTCACCGCGATGCTTGGTAACGTCTTCCAACAGTGGACGATCCTCAGCTCCGGGGTTCACGTCATTGCAGGCTGGCGATCATCTTACACCAACCTCCTGCCTTTCTCACTGACGTCTCAAGACTCCCTTCTAATGGCAGCTGGCCCTCGTTATATAGCCCCGGCAAGGACCACAAAAGAAACACCGCTTGCAACAGCTATTCTATTGCTGAGTGCGTATCTGTTGTGGCCATCGCGTGACGGCTACTGAGTCATATCCTAGCAACAGGCGTGTTTGCAGAGCCGTTCCCTACAACGGCTGTCTCTACTATTTTCACAATTCTGGCTTTCAGCAGACTTGTCATAATGTTTAATTTCCAAGATTATTATATTCTCACTCATTTTCTTACTGACAAGAAAGCGATGTTATTCGGACACTGTTCCTGGGTGTTACAATTACCGAAGGTACTTCCTGACAACGATTTCGATTTTCTTAATATTTCGGTGACAAGGATCATATTATATAGCATCGAATGAGGGATCGCAGAACAGGAAAGGGTTTATTGGGTATCTGTCTCAGCCTATTTTTGGAGTATAAGGACTATAACCGCTTCCGCCGGAATGTGTTTATCGAGCCGTTGCCTAGCAATGAACTATTTCGGCTTTCAGGCACCATGTCACAATATTATTCTGTAAGTAGAGGGCTGGGTTAACTACATACCACAACACTGAATTAAGAGTTCGTCATATGCGAACTGTTATTAAATTATATTTTTGAACAATGCAAAGAGTGTAATCGTTAAAGCCCTAGCCAATTAAAGATACTGTGGCTTATTTGCCACAGAAAGCGCATGAAACAATAGAATAACGGGGTTATTCTAGGCAACGGCTTTGTAAATATATTTCCGGGTATCGGACAGTGCTATGCAACGCGGTGACGTCATCAATACAGACTGTGTTTTCCGTGTGGTCTGTGCAAAGTGCTTATAAGAGAAGTAAGTTGAGAGTCCAGAAGAGTTTTTAGTTGAGTTCCGAGTTTCCAGGCTGATTGAACAAGAAATGACAAGAAGACTTCCTAATGATTTGAAATGTTAGTTTCTGTGTTGAGACCCGTTGCTAGGAGACGTCTAGTGGAAACTGAGAACCCTAGTGCGTGTGGAACGGTGAAATGTAAAGTGTGTTAAATCAGCGACAGCGCTGCATTAAATGTAATTAAGAGAGAGGTTGTAACCGAAGTGCTAATACATTCAGTCATCCGAACTAGAACCCGTTATTTTCGTCACGCCTACCACCCCACACGTGACAGTATATTTTACACTGGGTCTAACTGCGACAGCAATATTTTTAACCCTTCTTCTAAACCGCGTCAACATTTATTAAATGTCTGTCTTTTTCACTCCATGTTGCCATTTTACTCATAAGTCATATTCAGTGCGGCACATAATGTGTCCGTGGCTTTATCCGTATAACCGGTCCCGTGCCGACTGTTAATGATCTGAATAACAATGTTGATATGTTTTGTGACTACGGCTTCTTTTAGGCTGCCTATTATATTTGTACTTATATAGAAACAAGAGGCCGCGCCATAGCTCAAGCGGTTAGTCGCTGGCTTCCCACCGCGGCGGCCCGGGTTCGATCCTGGGTCTGTTCAAGTGGGATTTGTGGTGGACAAAGTGGCGCTGGAGCAGGTTTTCTCCGAGTACTTCGGTTTCCCCTGCCAATCTTCATTCCATCAATTGCTCCACAGTCACCCTCACCTATCATCTGGGGCTGGTACAATAGGCCAGAAGTGGCCGGAGTACAAGGGATTAGTCCCACCCCACTAGCAATAAAAAATACATAGAAACAAAAAGGGAAACAGAGATATTCAGTGGAAATCCAGCACAACTGAAAGGAGAGTTTGCGTCTTTCCACCTCAGACTATCGTAAAATTTTTAAACATATCGCCCTTATAGCCAAATATATTTTCGTAATTAAATTTAATTTCATCTGAAGCGGTTTTTTTAAAGCCAAGTGTTAAAAAAATTCTCTCCCACCAGAGTAAAAACTGTAAGCATACACGGTTTTCCTTCAATGACTGCTTTGAAAATGGACTGAGAGAAATATTGAAAAGACCACTGTAAATTTCATGGAATTACCTTCCATCCACATGTAATTAGACCTCAGAGTCCTTAAAACGTTAGGGTTATAAGTGGTTGTACTTTATAAAATTTGGAAATATATTCCAGAAAATTATCAACAGGGACTTTTCTACAATTCCTCAAAAGAGTTAGCCAAGCACGGCTATAAGGAAATAAATCTGTGACCACAGGAAATTTGAAAAATGTAACTAATTTTGTGAACACGTTACACATGTTCTTCAGGTTCTACTTCATAAAATGCACCTCACTGTAAAAACTAACTTTGCGCTAACAAAAGTGTAAAGTCGAGAAAATGCATAAATTTGCTATACTTAATTCAGTTAGAGCTCATCAAAAATGGTACCTAATGAAATTAACATCAAAGGGCTTTTCCTAAGTTGTACCTTAGCTTCAAAGCAGTAGGGGAATATACAGCTGTGATATGAAGCATGATTACATATGTATATTAGTTATCAACAATGTCGCCTAATTCATAATTTGCAAAGGTTTTCTGTTCCAGCGCCTTGAAGCTGCCTCAGTGCCTCATATTTAAAACTTTAAATTAAAAAAGCATGTATTAAATATCATTTCAGTAAGTACTGAGCAGGCGGTCGTAAAAGAAACAAGATTTTCATAGATTTGCTCTAAGATTATGGCACTTGCAAATAACACGTGTTCCTTCGTCCAAGGATTCAGGCTGTCTGGTTAAACGCTGGAGGAACAATAGGATCAAAGTGTATAGTGATTAACATATTTAGTAAACTTGGAAATTTTTTTCCAGAAAATAGAAAATAGTGCAGCTGACATCTGGTTGGTCACATATAAATTAATTTCCGAACTCAGTTGCGACATTACGCAATAAAGACCACGGAACTGGAGTTTTATCACGGAAATGGGAAAATTGAACCCTACATTGGTAAGTATTGTAAAATATGGAAAATATGTCCAACTTGCTTAGAAAAAAATAATTAAAACTTCCAAATTTCTTTCAACCACAGACATGTTTTGCAGATTATGGTTGCCAATTGTGAAAATGTCGAAAAAATCAATCGCTACTTTTGCAATTATTTGCAAATTTCCTACTATGCGACCGCTTACATTTCCGAAGGTTTAAATTTTGTGAGATATCTTGTGATGCATATACACATTGATATGCAACGACTCAGTGTAGACGTTCCAGCGAACACACAACAATAGGAACTGTGTTCTCTGTGGACCGTGCTACAACTTGTTGTTAGGTAACACAAAAATAATCGACAAGAGAAGACGGTGTTTTCCATGGAGTTCGGCTCGAGGCTATATAGCGGGACTCTGTAACTTGGGGAAATTCAAGCGACTAGAGTGCCGTTGCAGCGGTAGCTACCAGAAATAGGACATAATCTGTTGTACTGAGCCTGGTCTGACCGAGGCCCTGCATATTTTTATATATATTTATTAACATGTTTAACGT